AATGCAATGGCCAGTAAGGGTTCAGGGTTTAAAGTTTAGGGTTTGGGGGCTGGGGTTTAGGGTTTAGGGTTTTCAAGTTATAATATAGTAAGCTTATTATAAGTAAGACACCTAATACAATGGAATGGCCAGTCAGGGCTGTGCTTCCGAGAGATGGTAGGTCATGCTGCACAGTGCCGTATTATAAATAATATTGGATGTGCACATGTTCACTTGTGGGGCGATGAATATGTACAACACTGCTAGCAAGCAGTCGTCAGTGGCAGCAGCACCACACTGGTCTTGGGTGTGTGCATTATATGTATGTAGATATCAACATATATTTGTGTATACATGTATTTTCATATAGGTGTGGTGTCTGTAGCCCAACATGACACACAAATAATATTGTCCATGTCAGCCTAACAATCGAGTATAATAGTTGTAATTTAATATTATTCTGTGCATCATAAGCCCTCAGAGCCTCCATCATCGTGGTGTCCAGGCGCTGGAGCCCCGTGCGCGTGAGCTCCAGCTCAAGCTCTACCGTCCGATCAGGCTTGGGCGGGGGCAACATGCCACGCTCACGTGGTGGCTCCTCACAGAGACATATATGTGTACACATATATGTAGATATACTGGTCAGGGAGACGGTTAAGGGTTTAGGGTTTAGGGTTTAGGGTTTAGGGTTTAGTTGAAGCACTCACATGAAGAGCTAAGCCTGACATTGGTAACGACCGTGTGAAACCCAGGTAGTACATCTAATGCTTGGAAGTACGACCGTCGTCAATCGATATTTAAAGACCCATAAATCCTTGCGGGCATCAGCTGCGGGGGCATCGGGAGGGCCTTTGGAGTCGACATCCATGACCATCGAGGGTTCGCCTGTGCCCCCTCCGGAAGAGGCATCCACACCAGTCAGCTGCAAAGCTGACATATGAATCTCAACCTCCTTCAACATCTGCTGCACCAGCTCGTCCTCGGATTTGGGGCGGTCACGATCATACTGCCCAAAAGCAGTCTCCAAAACCTGCTGGACAGCCTTTTCCAGGCGCTGCACACAAATCTGCTGTTGGTCACTGGCCAGCTGGATGTCCTTCATGCCCTCCTCTTGCAGCGACTTTTTCCACGACGCCATTCTCTGGGTCACGGCCGAGCTGCTGGACATGCTCTTAGCCTGTCCAGCATGCTGGACGACGGAAGCCAAGGCCTTCGCCACCGCCTGCTCTGCATGAGCCATTTTTGCAGCCAGCTGCTCCTTCAGTGTTGCCACCTTGAGAGCCACATCCTTGATGGCTGCATAGGCTTCCAGGCAGTCAGATGCCGGCAGACACATCTCAGCAGTCCCTTGCATGTGAGTGAACTCAACATTCTCAGCCTCCAAGACCCAGTCCATCACGATGTCACAAAGGGCTTTGCGCTCATTGGGATCATCCTTTGAAGCCCCATCTGCAAAGGCACGAACCAGCTGGTTGCCGAGCTCCATGACCGACTCCTCGAACGTGGCCTGCTGCTTCATCGGGGTCTCTCCAATCACGTCCCGGATGTTAGAGAGGCTGCGTCCCCAGCTCAATGTCGTCATGCTGTCAAGGCTTCTGAAGGGCTCCACACCAGCTGCTGGTTCTGCTGCGGTTTGCTTGGGTCCTTCTCCCTGCTCCACACCAGCTGCTGGTTCTGCTGTGGTCTGCTCCACGGGTCCTTTTCCCTGCTCCGGTTCTGCTGCGGTCTGCTTGGGTCCTTTTCCCTGCTCGGCCACACCCGGTTCTGCTGTGGTCTGCTCCACAAGCCCTTGGGCCTCCACATGGTCCACCAAAGTCTCTGCCTGGGCTTAGGCGGGAACATGCTTAATAAAGTATCTGGCTCAGATTGATTCAACATGACAGCCTGTCCTAAAATGCAATGGTACAACTTGCTTTTGATGTTTGGCTAGATGCATTCTCAGCAGTCATCAAATCCGGCATGAGGTTTCGAGGGCTAAGCACACCAGGCTTCTCTGGGGAAGGAGGCTTCACTGGAACCATTGCCTCCTCTCTCACGATTCCCTTGCAGGGTGTAGCTGCAACCTCATGTTTGGGAAGCGGGGGTTGGGGAAGCCCTTGCAGGGCCCCCTCTCTAGAGGAGCTCGTAGAACCCACGACTCCCAACACTGCCTGCGCAGCACCTGCTGGGTTTTCGGCAATCTCAGGGGAAAACTGGCGGGATCTCTTCAGGTCTGGGCTCTTGGAGGCTGGGGTCAAGGTGACCTGCACCCCCGAGCTGTCTCTGACACGCTTTGTCACGTCCAACATCTCCTTCTCGACATCGAAGGAATCCTCTTCTGATGCAGCCTCGGGTTATTCAGAAAAAAATATATTGTATCACACATATGTACAGTAAGAGGACTAACTTGAAACATTAAATGTACGACACATGCCATGCAATTACCCTAATTCCATAATGTACTAGTACCAAATTAATGGGTCCCAGCTTCAGCTTATGACAAGGGCTCTCCGTGGGGTCTCATGGCCTATGCACAGTACTGTCAATGCAGTCCAGGGTGAGGTGCATGTACGGATGAAGTCTATATTAGCTACAGCGGTGGTTTAATACACACGTAATTCAGGCTTGTAGCTGTCTTTCCCCGGACAGGCTCACACTCATCAGACATGGCTCAGGGCACACGTCAGGCCAAAATGGCCGAAATCGAATTGGAAGAGGCCTCCACAACCCAGGATTGCATCAAATCCTATCCAAAACCTGTGCACAACCCAGGATTGCATCAAATCCTATCCAAAACCTGTGAAATGCTGCCATTAATTCAGCCCTATACCTGGCCTCGAAGCAATGCCGCCTGCGAGCCCCCAGAGGTAAAGTAACGCAAACTAACGGCAAAGTAACGCCCAGCACGCTCCAGGCACGGACACAGCACGCAAAGTAACGCAAACTAACGCTAAAGTAACGCTCTATTTTTTGGCAGGAATCCATGCCGGAGCCACTTTCTGCTGGAGAGGAGGCCAGAACCGCCGGTGTGGATCCCCGGGTGTCCATAAACCCCTATTATTTACGAGGAATACAGTCAACTATATGGATTTTAGCAGGATTTCCTCGTGGAAACGTAGGATTC